TAGAAACCTACCTTTTGAGTAGCACAGTCCAGTGGGATTTTGATAGATGGGAATAACGTACATTAAAGCCCAGAACGGATATTCGGCAGTTGGTTGAAAATTATTTGGTTTCTTTAGTTCAATTTCTTGCTCTAGAATTTTCAAATCGATTCCATATTCATCCAATGGGACTATAAACAAATTTAAAAAAATTAAAAAAACTTTTAGGTTCAGATACGTTTATTGTAATGAATATTTTATAGGTTTACTGGATGAAACTTTTCACCTTATTGTGACATTGTAAGAATAAAAAAATAAAAATATTTAATGTCAATTCGCATCCGACAGCGGGTAGCCAGCCACTTACAGAATGAAAACATACAACAAGCACGACAAAAGAGGACGACAAATTAATTGCAAAGACAATAACAAGCCCAATAACTACAAACACCCTAATAACCAATCGATTATTAATCTATTATCATAATTGGTCAATCAATATTATGATTATATTAAACACTTTTTTTATGTAAATTCAAAATAGTGTGTTTACGGTGCTACGCACCAAACCTACTTTAGATACATTATTGTTTACTACGATTTTTCAGCTGCGATTAAATGTACAAGAATAATTATCTTAATCATGCTCAATGTTATCTGGGATTTGAGGCAACGTCTTACGCTCTCTGTGGTGTAGCGGTATTAAAATTGAATATACTTACTAGGTACAACTTTGAGTCCAAGGTCAGTGCGAAATATTCTATTAACCTGGAAGAATGTTGGATCCTCTATGAATATATAGTTCCCTGGATTGAAAAATGTGCTTGCCAGTAAAGAGAGGCCAGCCGTTGCACCAGAGGTTGACATCAGTGTATTCCTGAAATGGAAGTGAAGCATACATATTATATTATATTATATTATATTGTGTCATATTATATTATATAATTATATAATATTACATTATAGGCCTATATCATTTTATTATATTACACCATATATTATATCATATCATACCATTATTAGGCCTATATCATATATCAATATACATATAAATATAGACCCATATTAATAAGTCTATAGAAGAAATATATTCAATCAGTATTTATATATATATATATATATATATATATATTATAGCATATACATATAGGCCTATATATAATACATATGTATGTATATACATACATTTATATATATATATATATATATATATATATATATATATTTTTTTTTTTTAAATTCTACTCACCAATCGACATTGTCCTCATACTCTTCTGAGAGAAATTTAGCCAAATTCATTCTGTAAGCGGGATCTCCCATTACACTTCCATACTGCATAAGATCTCCTCCGCCGGATACCTCTTGTTTCTTTGGATAGATAGAGAGGGGAAGAGAGAGAAAAATCTCTTTACTAGAATTACGTATAAGCTGGCCTGGCGTCTTAAATTTCCGACGAACTCGGCTGGATGCCTTAAATGATATATTTTTCATACCAGTATATATGTAAAATAGGCCTATAAAAAGTTTATTAAATTGTATAAGAATTGTTTTTATGGCATTGATTGTCAATAAACATAGTACTATGTTTTGTACTTCAATTTGTTTATTTAAATATTGTTAGTGAAAATTGCTATGATATTAACGGTTATCCGATAGCATTTCCTTTATTTTATTTTGTGTATGAAAGTCAATGAACATATAAAAAAAAGAAAATCGAGAAAAGTTCAAAATATAATACTAATGCAGTGTTATGGTACTGTAGGCTATTGTAACGTAATTGATGTGTTGATAAATAACAGTTTTCATACCTCTAAAGAGAAAA